AAACCGCCCAAAATATAATGATATATCTATTCAGCGGTGTTTTTTTTTTTAGGGGCCTATCTTCAGATCGTCATTATCCGCCTATAACATCGGTTCTCAGCCTATGGGTCGAGACCTTTTTTTTTTGCTCGAAAGACCCTTTCAGTGGGGTCACCAAGGACCATCACAAAAAGCATATTCATTACAGTTAGGAAGTGGCAACGAAAATAATTGTATGGTTGGGGGTTGCCACAACATAAGGAACTATTTTGATGAGTCGCGACATGAGTAAGGTTGGGAACCACTAGCATATGAGCATATGTGGAAAAATATAAATCTACTGCCATATTAGGATATGCCCTAACAAGCATGTCGCAGAAAGCGACGGGTTTGAACTTCGCTAAAATATGATATGTTGTCCCAAAGAACCAGATATTTAGGTCTAGCTTTAAACCACAACACAACTTGCCAGTCGTCCTCTTAACTTTGTAAAGAGGGGAAGAAGAAACTGCCACTCAGTCATTTCTACTACGTTTATTTAGTGATTTGTTTCTTCATCTAAGGTTCGCGATTAAGCAATTATAAGCTCATTTTTGAAACGAAATGTCCACAACGCGTCTCCATGAGTTTAATTCGATTCTGTCTGCAGAAATCTCTTGATGAGAGCAAGCGTCTTATCAAGGATTAAGATCAGCAGAGATGAGAAGTGGAAGAAGCAAAAAACATCGCTTGCCAGGAATCTTGTAGGAGGAAAATTAAGTTTGGGGCTTAAAGAGAATTGGTGCGGGGGGGGGGGGGGGGGGGGGGGGGGGGGGGGGGGGACATGTAGTGTGAGGTCATGGGAGATTAGGCCCGAATTTGAGACCTGGGCAAACTGGGTGAAGAGTGTTTTAGGGTTAAACGTTCATTCGTCAGTTGCGAGATTGTGTTAGTCATTGGCAAGTTGGCGCTTAGATTTAAGTATGTGAATTTCATTCATTCATTCATTCATTCATTCATTCATTCATTCATTCATTCATTCATTCATTCATTCATTCATTCATTCATTCATTCATTCATTCATTCATTCATTCATTCATTCATACATTCATTTATTCATCCCTTGTTCATTCTTATATTAACTTTTATACATAATAATTAATTTTGTCCCGTTATTTCAATCCTTACCATGATATCAATATATTCATTATTTTGTTCTTTTATTCATTACTCATTTGTCTATTGATTGATTGATTGATTGATTCCTTCATTATTCACCACTTCTTTCATTAATTACTCTGTTCTCCATTCTTTTATTGATTTAATAAGTTTATTCTTTTTAAAGCTCAGTCCATAACGACAAATTATCGTCATCGTCATCATCTTTGTCCTAATGTGGCATGACCAGTCACGTCTGCCTGGCAGATGATTCATTCTTTTAGTAAAATCCTGTGCAAACCCTTCGATCTTTGGGATGGAATCCAACCCAGTACCTGCAGCCTATGAACGTTCGTTTTAGGTTTTTGTTTTGTGTTCTCCTAGCTTCCTCTACCTCCCCCCCCCCCCCACTTTAGCTCCTGTTTGTTATTCTTAGGATGTATGCAATATAGCGCCATTTTATTTTAGCTATGCTGCGATATCTGCGGTTTCTGTCAAACATTACAATTTCAGCTAACCCCTAGCTAGGAGGCATTGAGACTACCTCGCCCTCCACAAGTGGCCCTAAAACCCACATGGGCCGGCCGTTATTAATCGCATCTATGTCACCTAAAATGTTCTTGTTCTCAAAGTTCTCCCACTGGGGGTTTCTGGCCCCATTGTGGGGAGACAAAATAGATAGATGCCTCCTCAATAAGCGTGTCGTAAGAGTCAAAGAATTGGGAGCTTTCTTCGAAGTCGGAGTACATCTACCTGAAAAGCAAAAAACGAACAGTCTATCTCTTTAAGTTAGGTCTGAAAAACGGATGTGCACGCAAAATTCATGTTATGGAAAAAGACCAAGTCAAGATGTCAACTAGCAAACATAATTTTCCGCTGTTTACAGCCGGTGAACTCTCAGAACTGGAGGTGATAGGTTCAATTCCCGGCACGGTAACTATAGCTTTCGATTTTTATGTTGTCTAGTTTGTTTTTCTATCTTCTACTTCTTTTTCTATCTTCTACTTCTTTCTATTACTTGATTAATTCATAACTCTAAAAAAAAAAAAAAAAAAAGATCCTAACGTTAACTGGCTGTAAACATCGGGGACAATTTCTAGTTGTCTACTTTTGGACTTCGGTCTAGTTTCACAGTTCGAGTTTTGCATTCCCATCGCGTTACAGATCTGGCTTACTTGTATGCGAACTCTTGGTTCCTCGCCTCTCGCACATATATACTCTAATTTCAAAAAAAAAAAAAAAAATCCTCATTTGTCGCACATTACCACAAGCTTTTTTAGGAGGCAGTAGGTCTATTGTTTCTTACTCCTAATGGGGCCGAAAAGCCACAAGGAAAGTTCGATAGCAGACAAATGGCACTGAGTTCTGAAACAATGGACCCTTTGAGCAGCAATGTGTTTCGTCTTTCTTACCTGTCCCCAGCGAATTACTAAATTATTCTCCATAGATATGGTTAGTTAGTTAGTTAGTTAGTTAGTTAGTTAGTTAGTTAGTTAGTTAGTTAGTTGGGTTATCATCATTGCACTCCGGACATGTCCATAGGTGCTCAGATCCTCCCCTCAGTATAAACCCCAACGTCCGATGTAACGTAATAGTACCAGTTCTATGTTGATTAACAAGTCTTCTGACGTGTCCGGTGTGCGTCTCGTTTTTTGCTGTGCCGATCTTAATTCCCAAGTCTGCCATTCTGGCGAGTGATGTGGATTCACTGCCACCAAAGTCCTCTATTCTTCCCATTTCTCTGAGGGCATTGATAATATCAGCATGATCCACAGGCCGACCGTCGGTAGTGATAGCGGATCCAGCCAACCTGTCAGCTCTTTCATTTCCATCGACGCCTGCGTGTCCCAGAACAAAAATAAAGGTGACTCCACGCACAGTGGACTTCTGAATTGATTCAAGCCATTGTCTTCGCACTGAACCTGCCTGAACCCTCTGGATCATACTCATTGAATCACTGAGTATACATATGCGGGTGTATTTTTGTGTTTCAAGCCAGGCAAACGCTTGCGTCACTGCCATCACCTCCTTCGTCATGCTGCTGGTTTTTCCATGGACTATCAATATCCCCATTATTACTAGAAGGGTGTCGACGGGGTGTCACACCATCTGAATAACAAGGAGACTGTTATTCTGCAGTAACACAGCTTGTGGGTAACGTCACATCCAGCGATAATTGATACCATTGAAGATCAAGGAATGTAGCGTTTGATACTATGGTTGCACTACAGCTACGGAGATGGTACTTTCTGGTGCTCACTCATGTCATTACTAAGTGAAGAGACAACGAACGCAAGAACAAACAAATAACTATCTTTTTTTTTTTAAGGTGCAAACAGCCACTAGGAAATGTTATTAGATTAAATATGCTGACTTCCCATGTTAACAGTGCTTATAATTACTACCAGGCTCTCAGTGTGGGTTCCGGGACCTCATTGTGGGGACAATTAAAAAAAGACCCACCCACCCCCTTCCCAACAAGCCTGTCTTCGTAAGAATCAACTGATTGGGGACTTCATTCGAAGTGGTAGTGCATCTGTCTAATTGGCAAGGAACAATCAACTGCACACATATAAGCCAGTAAAACGGATGTACACGCCGAACTCAGACCCTGGCACAAAGCGAAAATCCAAATGGACGAACAACTAGGACTTTCCGCCGGATCTTACAGATGGTGAGAACTAAGAAGAAGAAATTACTACAAGGAAATGTCACAAATAGTAAAACAGCCGTGTGATATTGTACAAATTACCAACTGTTTGCTAACTGGTCTACAAAAAAAACGTTAGCTGCGTATCCTTTACAGGACGTTGCAGAACCAAACCCAGCATTTTGTGGTTGTTGTTTTTCTTGGCAAATTTACGTCCAGTAGTTTGCCATTGCACTCAGGACGGTCGGCTTCTCGATACCACTGTTGAAACCAACGCAAGGGACAAGGCTCGAAGCTGGGATCGAACCCGGCACCCCGGCATTACGAAGCTCGTTCCTAACGTCAAAGCCAAGGACGCGGACAACTGGTCTATAACACATGTCAAACTGATACTTTCAGTAACACACATCAATAGCCGATCAGTCTATAAACATCAAATGCCTGACACTGGCATTAAAAAGCTTCTTTACCGATAGTGGTAGTGCATCTATATATATATATATATATATATATATATATATATATATATATATATATATATATATATATATATATATATATATATATTCCAACGTAAAGTATACACAAAGAGTTAAAATGGGACCTTTAAAAGTGTGTTTCTACTTTTACTATTTAGGTACTCGCCTGCAGATCCAAAGATGGTGGGTTCAAATCTGCATGGGGCCAATTCTTTTCTTCAAATATAACCTTTGCTCTAAGGTCGACTCAGCCTTAAATGGGTACCATGTAAAGTCCTGGGAGGTAAGGGCGTTAGGCGGGCTGTTGACCACATCACCAACCAAGTTAAGATTGGTCTATTAAATATATGACTAGCACTATATGTCCATCAACGACAGACTACATTTCTAGTGGCGAATGTTGGCTTTGGCAACTCCAGCAATTGCCTTACGTATTTATCGCGTGCGAATTTGTGTCGACTGTGCCGCGACCAATTGCTTGTTTACCAGTTTTTCAAATGGGATGGTCACAGACATTTCATTTGATTTTCACTGGCACATTATCGCAGCAAGTATTGGATCCCCCGATTGCAGTGACGCTGAAACCTCGACTAAAACTAAGCCTAATATTCTAACGGCGTGGAAAAGGGCCCTTTAATAAAATAAATCGACAGATGTGATTGCAACTAAAATAGTCCCACGTCGCCTCCTACTAACCAAACAAACACTCGATTCGTCTGATGGACCCTAACAAATTGATTGTCTCTAATTTCCAGGTCTGGTTTCAGAATCGAAGAGCAAAATGGCGAAAACGAGAGAAAGCACTTGGCAGAGATAGCCCTACATTCATGTCAATGGATGCACCCTCTATATCGGAGATGATGAGTCTGGCTAGACCCTTCGGAATCCCCACTCCGCTGGAGTCTTTCTGGGGTGCGAAGTTCCCAAATCTGACGGGCGTTCATCCAATGATGGCATTGTCCCATCCGGGGTTGACCAGTGCTCAAGCGGCTGCTGCTTACGGTGCTAGGTTAGTAGGCAGATAGACAAAAAGCTAGATCAATAAATATGTTGTTAGACTAGTTATACATATGAAAACAAAGTTAGAAAGATAACTGTATTTTTCAGTCAGTCAGTTGAATGTCTTTTGCAGAACCTTGCTTCTATAACAATCCTCTGGAAAACTTCTAGATTACAAGCAAGATGTCCTGTGTCTGATACACCCACCTGGAGATCGTTCGCCACATCCTGCACCCATCTTCTCTTTGTACTTCTTCTTCCTCTCTTCCCAGGCATATACCCCGTCATTCTCTTTAAACTTTCGGGACGTTTCAACTGACCAAAATATTTCAGTTTTCTGTGTTTTATTGTCTTACATAGCCAAACTTCTTCAATATTCAGTTCTTGAAGTTTGGATGCATTTCTTTTTGTGTGTTTTGTTACCCATGATATTTTTATAACCCATCTATAACATTTGTATTCATAGGCATGTATGCGCTGTTCAGGTTGTTTAGTAAGAGTCCAAGTCTCACAGGCGTATTTTGTATTTTGAAAGATGCATGATCTAGTAATCTAATTTTTGTAGTTCCGTCTGTCCCACACCACAGTTTATTCAGTTGTTTTAGTCTTTTCAGAGCAAATGTAGATTTATGAGATTAATATAAATTCAGATATTGGTTGACAGAGTAATTTTCAGAGTTAGTTATATCGAGTAATAAATACACTACAGGCTCAAAACAATTCCCGTTTTGACTAACAGAAATACAGATAGACAGACACACAGACAGACACACTCATACACACAGTCACCAACACAGACAGACAGACAGACAGACAGACAGACAGACAGACAGACAGACAGACAGACAGACAGACAGACAGACAGACAGACAGACAGACAGACAGACAGACAGACAGACAGACAGACAGACAGACAGACAGACAGACAGACAGACAGACAGACAGACAGACAGACAGACAGACAGACAGACAGACAGACAGACAGACAGACAGACAGACAGACAGACAGACAGACAGACAGACAGATAGAGAGATAGACGGATATATAGTCAGACAAAGAGACAGAAAGACAGACAGACAGATGGGTCACACCGATTTTGTTTTCAAAGGTTAATAGATTCTGCCCCTTTAAACACTTATCTTTCACACAGCAATTCTTTTTAAAAAAAAATCTTTAAAGCAAGTTATGTCATAAAACATGATAGAGAAAATGAACTTGAAGTAAATTACATAGAAGCATGGATGTCAAATACATGCACACATTACACACATATACATTTATATACATATATTATATACATTTATAAATACATTGACGGATACATACATAACACCACCGCACATACATACATACAAATATAAGTACATACATACAAACATACATAAATACATACACACACTCATATCACAAACACATACTAACATACCAGCATACATACATACCTACCTACATAATATCACGCAGGCACACATACATAGTATATACATTTATACACACGCCCACTTGCATAATATATAATATACGGCCAGACAGATAGACAGACAGACGGACGTACATACGTAGGGGAGGGTAGGCTGACAGAAAGAAAGACAGATAAATAGGTATACAGAAAGATAGATGAGAGACAGAGACAGGCAGACAGGCAGACAGACAGACAGGCAGACAGGCAGACAGACAGACAGACAGACAGACAGACAGACAGACAGACAGACAGACAGACAGACAGACAGACAGACAGACAGACAGACAGACAGACAGACAGACAGACAGACAGACAGACAGATAGATAGATAGATAGATAGATAGATAGATAGATAGATAGATAGATAGATAGATAGATAGATAGATAGATAGATAGATAGATAGATAGATAGATAGATAGATAGATAGATAGATAGATAGATAGATAGATAGATAGATAGATAGATAGATAGATAGATAGATAGATAGATAGATAGATAGATAGATAGATAGATAGATAGATAGATAGATAGATAGATAGATAGATAGATAGATAGATAGATAGATAGATAGATAGATAGATAGATAGATAGATAGATAGATAGATAGATAGATAGATACATAGATAGATAGATTGATAGATAGATAGACAGACAGACAGACAGACAGACAGACAGACAGACAGACAGACAGACAGACAGACAGACAGACAGACAGACAGACAGACAGACAGACAGACAGACAGACAGACAGACAGACAGACAGACAGACAGACAGACAGACAGACAGACAGACAGACAGATAGATAGATAGATAGATAGATAGATAGATAGATAGATAGATAGATAGATAGATAGATAGATAGATAGATAGATAGATAGATAGATAGATAGATAGATAGATAGATAGATAGATAGATAGATAGATAGATAGATAGATAGATAGATAGATAGATAGATAGATAGATAGATAGATAGATAGATAGATAGATAGATAGATAGATAGATAGATAGATAGATAGATAGATAGATAGATAGATAGATAGATAGATAGATAGATAGATAGATAGATAGATAGATAGATAGAGAGAGATAGAGAGATAGATAGAGAGAGAGATAGATAGATAGATAGATAGATAGATAGATAGATAGATAGATAGATAGATAGATAGATAGATAGATAGATAGATAGATAGATAGATAGATAGATAGATAGATAGATAGATAGATAGATAGATAGATAGATAGATAGATAGATAGATAGATAGATAGATAGATAGATAGATAGATAGATAGATAGATAGATAGATAGATAGATAGATAGATAGATAGATAGATAGATAGATAGATAGATAGATAGATAGATAGATTAGATAGATAGATAGATAGATAGATAGATAGATAGATAGATAGATAGAACGAACGAACGAACGAACAAACTTTATTTTCAAAGGGTTACAAATTGGGCACGCAGGCCCGTCTGACATTCGGCCCTTTTAAGCACTCGTTTTTCAGAGTACCACTGCCTGTTATCTAAAATGCATGTTATGGATATAGAATAAAAATATACATTATAGAATTTAATACATTCATCATGTGTACACAGTCTTGCACACTTTCCCATTCTCATACATGCACACTCATATACCGACATACCTAGCACATACATACATACATGCATACATACATACATACATACATACATACATCCATCCATCCATCCATCCATCCATCCATACATACATACATACATACATACATACATACATACATACATACATACATAAACGCATCTGCATATATACACAAACAGAAAAGACACACACATACATATATGGACATAAATGCACACACACATTCCATACATACACACCTACACATGCATGCATGCATACACACACATACAATCACACGTACAGACACCCACAACCACACATTTACACTCACATGTAAGCATACATACACACATACATACATACACATATCAATACATACACCTACATCTTTACAAACATACATGCTTACATACCTAAATACACACATACACTCACATACTTATACATCTACAAATGCATACACACATCCACAAACATGCATACATACACACACCCACATACATGCCGACACACATTACATACATGCATACACAAATATATAATCACCCATACAGATACTCTCATGCATACATACACTCATGCATACATACATACTTGCCTACATTATGTACACACATACCCACAATCACACATACACTCACATACAGTCACACATATATACATAAATACACACACATACAAACTTAAATATACATTCATATATCCACATGCATGCATACACACATACACCCACAATCACACACACACCCAATACATACATATATACACACATATAGATACTTTTATACATACATACACATACATAATACATACCCACATACTTACATACATGCATACTTGCATACATTCATAAATACACACATCCACACACAGCTACATATACCGACAAACATCCATATACATGCATGAATACCCATACACCCATATACTTACACAGCTAAATTTACATAGAAACATTCTCATACATATACATAATACATGCACCTACATAC